ATAGTGGCACCATCGGATTACAAAATGCACAAAATCTCTGATTTTCTTAAGAAAATTCGTTCAGAATTCAACCCATGTATGGTCTGCATAAGTTCACCTTTGGGAACGTTACATGTTCTCACTGCTGCAGCCCGCTGTCCTCTCTCCCTATGACAGCAGTACGGGGGGGAAGGTGCTCATACTAGCTGTCACTTTTTAATTTCAGTATTTTTATTGAGAAACAAGCATATAGATGCGTAAAATGAGATGGCAAACAAAAAAGCCCACCTACATGGTGGAACGAGATATAAAAGCAGAATCATAATACTTATAGGCACGCAAAAAGATTATCAAAAGATGGCAATACAAATACACACAAAGAGTGCCATAACCATCAAGTCGTACAGGTTTCATAAATCAATAAACAGAAGTTGAACCAAAGGAATGAACCAACAGTGACAGAAATAATTCAGCAAATAAAATAGAAAAAGAGAGAAGAAAGAGGAAATTACTCCTAAGGGGAAGAAAGGAAATAAGAGGGGGGGGTCAACTGCCAGACTCTCATGATACAGTAATGTAATTAATCCAAGGCTCCCAAGTCCTCTCAAATCTGGACATATCGTCATTGACAATACTTGTCAGTTTATCGTTAACCATTATCCAGTTAAGTTTTTGTTTCACCCTGTCTAGCGGGATCAAGGATTGTTTCCAACTTCTAGCTATGGTAATGCGAGCCGCCAGTAACATATATAAAATTAATTTAGTCGATTTTTTGGGGACATCAGAGGGTAGTATATTGAACAAAGCCACTTCCGGCGATCTACGGATATTAACTCCTGTTACTGAATAAATAAAATTGAATATGCGGATCCAGAACCTACTCACAACTGGACATTTCCACCATACGTGGAACATGGTAGCCTCTTGACCACAGCGTCGGAAACAGCTAGATGACACGGAAGGATATATTATGGCTAGGCGAGCAGGAACCAAATACCAGCGTTTTATAGTTGGATTCAACAAGATCAGTGTTAATCGAGATCTTCGATAGAGTATGGGCCGCATTCCGCCAAGTATCTAAATCTAAGGAACTATTTAAATCCCACTCCCATTGGGTCATGTAGGACAATTTAGTGAGGGGATCAACCAATGAAGCATAAATAATGGATAAACGACCACGCATCATCCCACTTGCCCCACAGGAGACCTCGAGAGAAGAAAGCGCACAAGGTTCTGTGAGTAATCTAAGCTAGCTATTGATAAAAGAGCGAAGTTGGTGATAGCGGAAGCTGGTGATAGTCTCCAATACGTAACAACCCCTTATTAATCCACCACTGGCACCTCGCGAAAGATAGACCCGGGGCAAACTCAGGATTACCAAACACTGGGGCCAACGGGGTATGCGGAGAGGAGAAAGGTTTACGAGCTCGCCATCTATCCCACACCGATAATGAGTAGGATAGAGTAGGACACAGAATAGGAGGACGCAATCCACTGGGAAGCCACATGAGAGTACCAATAGCATATGGATGGCACGAAAGGGCCTCAATCCCAACCCACTGGGGGACATATCCCCTGGCCGTAGTACACGATAGCTGTGCTATTTGGGCTGCCTGAAAGTATGCTAAAAGATTAGGGAGTCCTACACCGCCATGCCTCTTCAAAGAAAATAAGGTAGATTTATTAAGCCTAGGGCGTTTTCCCTTCCACACAAATCTAGAGACTGCTGCTTGTAGTAATAACAGTTCCCGTTTGGGGATCATGATTGGTAGCGTCCTGAAATAGTACAATAATCTTGGTAGAAAGGTCATTTTAATAGAATTAATTCTATCGAACCAGGAAAGTGAGAGATCCTGCTAGTCTAGTAAGTCATTTTTAAGTCGTTTGAAAAGCGGGAGATAGTTGGCCTTGTATAACGTCGATATAGATTTCGTGAGGAGAATCCCCAGAGAGGGGAGAGAACCAGGGGCCCACTGAAAATCAAAATTTTTCCCGGCAGTAACGAACCTCCGAATCAGGTAACAAGATATTTAAAGCAACCATTTTAGATGAGTTGAGCATAAGACCGGAGGCCTCAGAAAACCGATGAAACAAATGGAAGAGACCAGGTAGAGACGTTCGAGGATTAGATATGTACATAAGAACATCATCAGCAAATAGGGCACATTTATGACCCCGTTGATCACAGTTAACACTCGAGATAGTGGGATCAGCGCAAATAGCAATCGCAAGTGGTTCCATTGCCAACACAAAGAGAAATGGAGAGAGAGGACATCCCTGTCTAGTCCCTTGTTCTATTGAAAAAGGGGGATTGATTTATATCCACGAATGGAAACTTGAGCGGACGGAGTAGAATAGAGGGCCTGCAACAGCGTGTAAAATAAGGGCCAAACCCAAATTTGTCTAACGTTCGAAACAAATAGTCCCAGGACAGACTGTCAAATGCCTTCTGAATATCCAGTGACAGTTAGCTGTCACTTTTTAAACATAGCGCAGCCTTGCGAGCTCTGCCCACAATCCTGCATCATTCATACACAGATTTCTGTAAATGAATCAACCACAAGTCCTGACATCCTTTGCGGCTGGCGACCCCTGGTTCACATATCTGCATTCCTGGGGTCTGCGTTTTGCGCGGGCACGAGAGTCCATTGATTTGAACGGACTCTCGTGCCCCGGGACACGCAGGGAAGAAGTCCCTGCACTTCTGAAAACGCAGCCTGCACGGGAATCTCAGTTCCCAGTACGGTTGTGATTTCCAGTGCAGGCAGCATGCCTTTAGAATTAATGGCACCCGCCCACAGGTCCGCATTCTTCTGTGCGGGTGGTGGGGCTGCACAGATTTTTGTGCGGATCCGCAGCGGCGCCACCCGCACAGATGTGAACCTAGCCTTATAAGGGAAAAAGGTAGCCCAACCTACTTGACACACCCAGGGGCGGGACTTCCCTTAACCACTTGCCCTGCAGAGGATTTACCCAACTTCCTGACCAGACCATTTTTTGTGATACGGCGCTGCGTTACTTTAACTGACAATTGTGCGGTCATGCAACGCTGCACCCAAATTATTTATGTCTTCTTTTTTTCCCCACAAATGGAGATTTCTTGGTGGTATTTGATCACCTCTGTGGGTTTTTTATTGCGCTATAAACACAAAAAGAACAACAATTTTGAGAAAAAAAAAAAACTATATTTTTGGGTTTTTTGCTATTAAACAAGTCCAGTGAAAAAAATGTAAAAAAATCAAATTTCGTCATAAATTTAGGTCAAATGGATTCTGCTACATGTGTTTACTGAAAAAAATCCCAATACATGTAAATTTTTTTTTAAGTCCGCAAACGTTTACCCGTGCAAAAAAAAGTTATAGGGGTGTGCTGTGTCTACCCCAAATGGACCGGTATACGAATACGGGGATTTTTTTTTTATACCGTTCCCTAGTAATGGTGGCAATCAGCAAGGGGACTTAGAAGAGTCCTCTAGGGACAGGGGAGGAAGGCGTATGGACTGACTTCAGGGTATTCTGACACTAAGGGGGGGGGGGGGGGGGTGGAAATGTGCACAGACCAGGCCCTGAGGCTAAGTTATAGGGCCACTGACATCTCAATGCAACACTAATACAGTGGGATTCTGACAGTGCTAATAAAAAGACATTGTCACTAATACAGTGTAGTGCAATGAGCATGTCACAGGCATGGGGAAGGGGTTAACATCTGGGGCGATCAAAGGGTTAACGGTGTGCCCCGTGTGTGTGTGTGTTTTACTATTTTATCTGTGTGCTGTTTTTTTACTGTGTAAGCACGCTGCTTTGTATTGCTCTGCTATGCAGAGTAATACAAAGCAACGTGCTGGTACTGACAGGGGAGAGGTCTGTGTTGTTTACATACAGACCTCTCCTTTGTTAGTGTTCCTCGGTGATCGCCGGGTGCCAGTGGAGAATCTCTGGCCAGGACCCAGTGATCGACAGCTGTAGCCACCAATGGCGGCGCGAGTAGGGTGACACGCGTCCCCTACCCGGAGATACCAAATCACATATATACACATGATTTTGCGCAGCCCTGCCACCCTGTAGCAGTAGTTCTGCTATAGGGTGGTCGGGAAGCAGTTAGAGGAGTAATATCTCCTCCTTACAGGTCTACATCAGACCAAAAAAGAGAGACAACTGAGGAAGAAAGAAGGACAGAGGGAATGGGTCCAAAAAGGGGGACAGTCCCTACAAATAAGGAACAATTGGGAGTCATGGACACCCTGGGAAGTGTTGGATACCAGTAGTAGTTGTAGCTCCATTAGGGCCTCATTACACTTGTGGTTGGGGAGGCGGTAAAACCCCGCAGTTGAGCAGAGTTCTTGCTGCCCCTTTAGCTAGAAAGACAGCGGGGAGGGAGAATACTCAGAGCTTTGCTTTGCATCTGTGGCAGGAATTATCCCCCCCATCACGTTCAATGAGCACTTCAACCTGCCGAATACAACCTGATTTAAGGAAATAGGACTGCGCTGAAACTTCCCCGCAACAGCACGCAATGCAATGGTTGCAGCATGGTAGTCTGGCATTTCGATGGTTAAAACAGGAGGTGGGCGTCATGTGTGGTGGAGGTACTACCCACCAAATGTGACAGAGGGCATTATTCTTTCAGCACAGCAAAGCGTCATAGCCATGGCATGCAAGCCCATCTGGCTGCCTTTGAAGCTTAACCACTAGCCTACAGGGCACTTATACCCCCTTCTTGCCCAGGCCAATTTCCAGCTTTCAGCACTGCCACACTTTGAATGACAATTGCGCGGTCATGCAACACTGTACCCATATGAAATTTTTATCTTTTTTTTTAGACAGATAGAGCTTTGTTTTAGTGGTATTTAATCACATCTGGGATTTTTATTTTTTCTTAAACCAAAAACCACTGAAAATTAGAAAAAAAAAATTTTCTTTGTTTTTGTTATAACATTTTGAAAAGTGATTTTTCTCCTTCACTGATGTGCGCTAATGAGGCTGCAGTGATGGACACTGATGAGGAGGCACTGGTAGGTGGCACTGAAGGAAATCGATAGGCATCACTGATGGGCACTGAAAGGCAGCACTCATATATGGCACTGATAGGTGGCACTGACAGGCAGACAGGCACATTGATAGGTGGCACTGATGGGTGACACTGAAAGGCAGCTCAGATGGGCACTGATATGTGGCACTGATGGGCACTGCCAAGTGGCATGGATGAGCACTGACAGCTGGCACTGATGGACACTGACAGGTGGCACTGCTGGGGCTACACTGATCATCAGTGCCCTGATGATCAGTGTACCTGTCCCCTCCGAGGAATGCCGATTACCGGCTCTCCTCATGAGCTGTCAGCGTGACAGCTCGTGAGGAGAGAAATGCCGATAATCGGCATTTCCCCGTTTACATGCTATCAGCTGTGATTGGACACAGCTGATCAGATGATCGAGCCGACATCTTCGGCTCTTTCTGTTGATCGGTGATCCGCTGTGTCCAAGGGACACGGCGCACCGCTAATCGCCGTACTGCGCGCTCCCGGAGCCGTGCATGTGCGGTTAGAATGGGAGGACATCATATGACGTCCTCCCAGAACGAGAGAACCACCTTGCATCTGTCACATTACTATATAGCAGGCAGGAGGCGGTTAAGGGGGGAAGTGATAAACAATGGCTCAACCACCTATTTTTACTGCCCTTCAGTTGTCAGTGTGTGTGAGGCTTTAGGGCTCATGTACACTGCAGCTGATAAACTCACGTTTAGGAGCTGTTCAGCGTTTTTTTTTCAGCAGCCCCTGATCTCACCCTAATGTTTTCCTGTGTGTCCATGTACACATCGTCATTTACAGGCAGTTGAGTTTACAGTCGTTTTTTTTTGAATGCAGAAAACTTGCGTTCAGCAGTAGATTTTATCAGCATTTCAAACGCAAAACGCTTGTAAACACGACTAACCGCGCTTATAATTTTTTTAACTCTTCCATTTCCAGATTCTGTCCAGAGCCTTTTTCCATCATGAAGAATGCAGGCAAAGCGTTTTCCTGGTACTCAAATGGACCTGGTACACCATACTTTGAGGTTTTGCATGAAAACAAATATGTTAGACACTGCTGCAATCATTTCTGCACACAAATGAGCTGGAACACATCCAAACACCACAAAAATACAGCTAATCTCAACACATACTGCTCTATTTCTCTCAAAATGTCTGAAATAGTTAATTTTTACTGTTTTTCAGTGCATTCTGGGTATTTTGGAAGGTTTCCTGAGGTTATCTTTAAAAAACGCTTCTAAACGCAAACGCTCATAAACACGGTATGCAAACGCGCACCTAACAGATGTTTTTTAACCTACGTTTCCCAGCAGTTTCCATCGTTCAGAAGTGTCCTGTGTTCATGGGGCCTGAGGGCTTCAGAGAGTGTGCTGTGCTCTCTGAAGTGTGATCCATGATTAGATCCCACTTTAGAGAGCATTTGCCAAGTGCGGAGGTGTGGTGTCACCTCCTTACTGCCTGCCTATCCCCACATTACAGGTTGTTGTAGAAGGGCCCAATTCAATTGAATGGGTTGTGTTCGTTGGGAGTTATGCTCACCAAGTGACGGTATAATTATTGGCATGCTCACACCTCAGGCGCTGCTGCTGCAGCTAAAGCGGGTGCCGGTTAAGGGGCAGTGAAAGCACAGCTTAATTCCAGCGTTTTACCGCCCCCTGAACATCACGTATGAAAGCGCTCGCAATGAGTGAGGATTCCAGTCACTGCAAGCCGGGAACATATGATTTTTCTCTCACAAACTGCATGTATCTCAGGTTTTATTAGTTTAATGAACGGCTCTGGACTTCACATAAAACCTTGTCACACCCTTACACTGACTAAAATCTATATTCGTATTTGTCCTGTGAAAACCCGGGAACGTAGAAACAGACTACGTGTTCCAGACACAATCATCCCCTTCCTTCACGGACTTCGGAACACACGTCAGTGACAGGCCGCGCTGCCCTCATCCAATATGGCCGCTCCCGTCTCCCCTGGTCAGACGTGCCATTACTAGGCTTCTTTCCCCCGGACGTTACGTCTCTTCCTGTTGAAGACGTGGCCCCGGGACTGCCATATTGTGGAGAGGGCTGTTGGAGTGTAAAGAACGGGCAGAAAGGCGTAATAACCGGCTGTGAGAAGCGCAAACATGGTGAGGAGGGGTCCCGGGGAGGGTGTGTGTGTTATAGGGTACGTAAAGGGGAGCGGACACCCTCCGGGGGGCCCGGGGCCACAACCCGCCGGAGCGCAGGAACTGTCACTGGTTGCGTCCTGTCAGCTGGCCCGGTGCAGGAGAGTACAGGGGCCCCTCGTAAACTGAGTGTATGAGGGAGGACGGGACAGGGGCCCCGGGGCTGGGACAGGCCTGACATCGGCCTTAGCTCTCGGTCTGTTGTCATAGATATACATTGTATGGGGGGAGGGGGTGCTGTGACCTGGAGAGCACTGTATAGACACCAGGCAGGGTGAAGGTTGGATCAATGACTGACTACCGACGTGTATTTCTTCTATTCCAGCCGCACCTCAGACCCCCCCATAGGATTATCACTCCCAGTCACACAGTGACCCCTAAGAGGAACACAAATATTCCTTCCATCTTCTTGGGTGCAGAATTAGGCCCCATTCACCTCCGCGTGTTCCGGCAATGTGCGCAGAAATGAGTTTTTTTTGCACGCGTTCCTGAAACTGCGCATCATGCTTCTCTAAGACATCCCTGACGCATCTAGCAGACAGGCAACAGAACGCGTGAGGCTCGCCACCCACAAAGAGCGCAGGAACTACTTTGACGCATTTGCTGTGTGCAGGGATGGCCATTAGTATGAATGGTTGACCCTATGCTGCTGTACAGCAAACACACATAAGTGCAAATGGGGCCTTATTCACAGGGCGGTATATCTGCTGATCGTGGGTGCCATGCTTTGCAGGCTTCTGCTGGAAAAATAAATGCGCTTTTGTTTTTGTTTTTTTTTTTTTTTTTTTTTTGCAAAAATATATGAATTTATCTTTTCCGTAAAGGTTAAAATGATATTAATTCAATCTTTTTTGTTTCAAAATAATACTTGCCTGCTCTGTGTAATGGTTTTGCACAGAGCAGCCCTGATCCTCTTCGTGGGTTGCCTGCCAGCACTCTTGGCCCTTCCCACAAAGTGCTCTAGGGTACCCCAGCAGGCTCGCTGTCGAGCCACTGCTCTGTGTCCATTCACACACAGAGGCTCAGCCCTGCCCCCTCTCTCTTTTCATTGGCTGTGATTGACAGCAGTGGGAGTCAATGGCTTCCACTGCTGTCTTAGCCAATGAGGAGGGAGAGTCCCCAGAGAGCTGGGGCTCTTGTGCACATTGTTGGCACTCAGTGTGGATCAATGGATCATTGTGAAAGCAGCCAAACTTGGCATTTAAAAACAAACTCCATTTTTGCCAAGAAAAAAAAATTCCCCTTTGGATGATATATGTTTGTTGCCAGGAAATTAAAAAATATATTGCACATTCCTACCTTGTTATTCTGAAGAAATAGCTGTTTGCCTGTGTCCATGTGCAGAGTGATCCTATATGAGAGTTGTTACACAATTATCAGCTGCTGCACTCTCAAGGCTCTGAGGAACGTGGCAGGGTCTGCACCCCTTTAGACATGATTCCCTTTGGGAGTATCTCACTAAAAATGACATTTTTGTTGCAGGGGATGCCTGAAATCTGACTTGTATCTTAGTGCAGACTTCTGGGAAAATCAGCCAATCACACAAACAGGAAATGTCATTTCTGGGGGGTTTCTGTACACCATCTGTGTCCTGAGTGGGTGCAGGTTGCTATGTTGTATTTTACATTAAAAAAGTGATTTTTTTTTTTTTTTTAAATAACATTCAATTACAATATGACTTGTTTAGCGATTGTATACACAATATTTTTTTCCTTTTTGCAAATTTAGGAGATCTTCACTGAACGTTATTATAGGCTTACCTGTAGCTACAACTGAAAAAGTGGACTTTACTAATGCGTTTAAGTATTCCAATGTGAACTAAGCCATAGACTGGAATTCTACTTTAAAACGGATCTTGAGATAACCCCCCCCCCCTTCATTTTTTTAATTTATTTTTTATTATCTATAAACCACTGCCTACTGGGGGCTGTCTTCTGCACAATTCAGATACACACCCTCTCAGCGGATCCACAGTTAACCCACTGAGATCCTTTTTTGTTTTGCTACTGCTCAGTCCTGCGCCGTCATGTTTTTCTTTGATGTCACCAGTTGGTACCAGATTTTCTGGGATCATCCGGTGGGCCTACAGATGACACGCTGCTCCTTTACTAAATGGAGAGACAATGCCTCCTGGAATATGTGACATACCTATCCCAGGATGCAAAGGGAGCACAGTACACTTCATTCACCAAGGTGAATGACATGCAACTGGGGGGGGGCCCAAAAAAAATTTGGGAGAGGAGGATTGGATAGAACTGAAGAATGCCTGGAGGGTGAAGATCCAATTTAAGAGATCCACATTTCATGGAAGGGGAAGAGTTCAGTTCTGAGTTAATTCTTTAAATATATTAATAGTAAAAAGGCCTGACCGAGCATGTAGGCCCTTTACAAAATAATCTAGAGTGGGTGACTGGGGACAAAGAGAAGGCAAATGTATTAAATACCTTCTTCAGCTCTGTGTATACAAAGGAGCATGGGGAGCTCTTGTCCATAATGGGCATGGTATTGACACAGCCCCAGATGATCCACATTGGCTCACAACTGATATGATCCAGAAATATTTAGACAGAATAAAGGTGAATAAAGCACCTGACCAGATGGCATACACCCACGGGTCCTTAAAGAATTGAGCTCTGTCATTTCAAAGCCATTGTTTCTAATTTGTAATGACTGGCATAGTACCACTGGATTGGCGTAAGGCCAATGTGGTGCCATTATTTAAAAAGGGGTCAAAATCTTTACCAAGTAATTACAGACCTGTTAGTTTAACTTCTATAGTTGGGAAGATACTGGAGAGTTTAATAAAAGACCACATAGATGAGTTCTTGCTGGAAAAAAATATTTTAAGCAACAGACAGCATGGATTCATGAAAGACAGAAGTTGTCAAACAAATCTGATTTCTCTTTGAGGAGGTGAACAAAACCTTGGACAGAGGGGTGGCGGTGGACGTGGTATACTTGGACAGAGGGGTGGCGGTGGATGTGGTATACTTGGACAGAGGGGTGGCGGTGGACGTGGTATACTTGGACAGAGGGGTGGCGGTGGACGTGGTATACTTGGACAGAGGGGTGGCGGTGGACGTGGTATACTTGGACAGAGGGGGTGGCGGTGGACGTGGTATACTTGGACAGAGGGGTGGTGGTGGACGTGGTATACTTGGACAGAGGGGTGGTGGTGGACGTGGTATACTTGGACAGGGGTGGCGGTGGACGTGGTATACTTGGACAGAGGGGTGGCGGTGGACGTGGTATACTTGGACAGAGGGGTGGCGGTGGACGTGGTATACTTGGACAGAGGG